TCCAACGCCCCTCTGAAGTCCTTAACGAAGATTGAGAAGAACAGGATGTCAGCTATCTGGCAATACCTGTTTTCTCAGTTCATCCAGTGCATGGGTGGAAAAACTGGAGGTCAGGACCAGGCCTCTAGGATCGCCTTAACCATAGGCGTATCTGCGATTGAGTGTCGCAATATAAATTATGTTGCGGTCATTTTTGATGACCTGGTGCTCAAGTTGAATAAGCGCCAGCAAGAAAAGGTGGTGCCTTACACCAAGTTTCTCTCATTGGTGTTTACCAAGATCTTTACCCCCAAGAAGGAAACCTTCAGGTTTTCAAGCTTGGATCCAGGATTCTGGATCATAAGCTGAGGGACAGTGATGTGGCACTAACTTCTATTGTGTCCATCACTACCTCTTCTCTTCAAGTGGCCACGACAAGGGTAAACCCCCCACATCTAGTCAAGCCACCAAAACCCCTTCAAAACGACCCTCTCAACCAACTCTTGGTTCTCCTCAAAGAGCCAAGAAGTCCAAAAAGGGGACAGCCATGTCTCTAGCTAGAGCCTCTCAAAAGGATTCAGTTATTGAAACTAGCCTTATCCCCAAGGCATCTTCTGCTTACCCTCCCAGCTCTTCAGTGATCTCTCCCATCACTATCGTATCAGTGGTACCTACCCCAACCACCTCAGTGACCCAAATCACTGAAGGTGTGAATATCAGTGCCACCACCGCTGATCACCCACGTCTCTTCTCGACCATTTTCTATTCTCCTCCTCATTTGGTCTTTACACATGTCGATGATGTATCAACGACTGTCCTTCCTGATACTGAGACGCGCACTACTGGACCTGAGGTTGCTCCTCTCGATGCTCCTCAGCATACAGATGTCCATCCTCTCGAGGACATCTTTACTCACGCCAGTGACAATCCTTTAGATGTCACTGATGGCCCCTCAGGTATTCCATCTTCCTACCCTTTTTTTTCTTCTAACCTTGAGCATTCAGCTCACACTTCTTCTTTTGCAGGTCCTTCTTCGATGCATCAGTCTGATGCTCAGGAAGTGGAATAGGAAGAAAGAAAGAAATATGATGGAGGAGATGAAGATGTCGATGATGACTATGATATGGCGTCAGACATCAAACTTCTCCTTCCAGCCGTTGATACCGTCCTCTGCAGGATCAACGAAGTCCACCAAGAGATGACCCGCCAGGGTGATCTTGATGCGAACTTCCTTACCATCCAGCGGACGTTCAAGAAGTTCAGAGTCATCTCCAGACTCTCCAAGAAGCTATTCAAGTCAACAACGATGCCATTGTTGTTCTTCACAGCAGGGCTGATGATGCTCAGGCTATAGCTGATCAGCAGACTGGCCTTCTTCAACATATCATGGATGTTGTCTGTCAACCACCTCCAGTGATCCCACCTTCTTTCTCTACCAGTGATCGTGCCTAGCTCGATGATGCGCGTGAGGCAACGACAACTCTAGCCAGCGCTTTGCAAACGCTAAAGGATATAATGGTTCTCCATCGTCAACGCTTGGACGAACTATCTGGACAATTCTTTCAAATCTTAGCCAGAGAGGGTGAGATGAGGTCCAACGCTGGTGAATCATCCGATGTTGTTCCTACTCCTTCTCAGGCTGTTGGTCCAGTATCAGCTTCAGTTGAAGTTGAAGCTGAGACTCTCAGAGCGGAAGCGGTTGCTGCTCCTGTAATCTCGAGCACCAAAGCTGCTCCAGCTGAGGATGTCGATGCCATACCTAAGGATGATGCCCCTACCATCACTGCTGCTGGTGATGGTGATGATGATGAAGATGAAGATGATGATGATGAAGATGATGAACCTACCATTTCAGACCCCGAAAATTATCTAGATGGCGACGACAACGATGATGATGAAGATGACTTACCATCAAGTACCAGAAGCCATCAACCGTCACCAAGGGAGTTGCCCTTAGGGATTTCGCATCCCAGGGGGAGCAAAGGCAAGGTGAATCTACTCCATCAGGGAACCAGGACCCCAAGTCGAAAGGCAAGGCGATTGCTGAAGAAGGAAACTTGAAGGTGTTGTTCAATATCCCTCAACAACCTTTGTTTGAAGACTCTACCTCTCAGTTAGTGACTACTTCAAAATATCAATTTCATATTCCATCAACAACATGCGGTCGACTGGAGCGGGTACCTGATCAACCCGTCTCTTATGCTCCAACCGACCAGCAGATGTCTCAACTGAAGGAGTCACTTGACCAGACTAGAGTAAAAATCCCTCTTCATACCTCTAGTGGTGGTGAGTTTGACTTCTTATCTGAAGCTGAAACACTCGAGGCATTAAGGGCTGAAGAAGAGCTAGAGCTTCAAAAGAAGCAGACTGAACACAGCTTGAAGCTGGCCAAGTCACTAGCTAAACAGGTCCTCCCCAAGAAAGAGTCCAAGAAAATGGTGAATGCTGTCCAAGCCCAGGCTAAACTTCTTTCTATTGCAGAAGCTGAGCATCAGAAGAACCTGAAGCTGGTGGAAAAGGACAAGCAATGGAGCGAAGCAAAGCTGAAAAAGAGAATCAGTCCCCGCCCGATTATCAGTGTCAGCATCAGCGGACGTTCTAAAGACGGTGGAACGTTGGTCTCAATGCTCATCACCAGGGACAATCTTGATGTCGTTACCGAGTATCCTTCCTACCTTGGCCATTATGGATACAGCGAATGGATGGAGATCAGACAAGCCATTCAACAATCCAAGTCAGCAAGCTCATCAAAAGGATGTCCAGGTATGTCAAGGTCCCTGACAGGCAATCTCTGAAGAAAGGTGGGAAGAAGAAACTCAAGCTCTCTGATCCTAATGATGGACCATTCCTAAGGAACGAACATGAAACAAGGTTCTCCTTAGATGAARTCCTGAAGGDTCATCAGAGTACAGACATTTCTATGTTGAATCTTGACTTGCCAGATAAGGGTCCCTATACACCCAACTCTGTGCATTTTAAACCTGAGTTAGGAGTTATATTCCTTGACTATGAAGGTGAAGTCAGATTTCAGAGAATGTCAGAGCTACATCAATGTCTAATTGATCATCTGGTATACCTCTTGCTCTGGATAGATGATAGCATGCCTGGAAAAGTCGTAGTCGAAGAAAACTTGGTGAAAATGTACCTGGTTACATAGATCTAAGAGTTCTACAATAGTTTCTCTTTGTAACAACAATCCACTTTTCCTTGTAACTTCTTGTACTATGTCTACTTTCAGTGATAGTACTTATAATCTATAAGTACTAGACATGTACTGTATTATTTGTAATATTTCCAATGATTAATAAAATGAGTATTCCATGTACTTCATTGAAAAAGATCCCTGAAAAAAGTAATAGGGACACAAGTCTATGAGTTATAGAGTTACTTTTTACATTCACTGAAAATCTATAAGTCATTGAATAAGCTTTCAGTTTCAGTTTCCGTGCTTGTAATTTTCTTAGATATAACTTAAGGAAAATTCTCAAGCTGAGACTGATTAACTGAAAAAGATCCCAAAATAGTAAAAAAAGGGCATGTACGTTATGTGTAACTTTTCCTTACTATTATTTGAAAAGATAACTTTCTTTATGTTATCTTGTTATCATCAAATAGAAGGAGATTGTTGATCCTCTCTCTCAGTGATTTGATGATAATCTCTTTTCACTTATGCGTTGTATTTATGTTTCTGTCTTTTCAGTTCCAGTGCTTCACTGAGTATGTCCAGTGATTGCTGAAGAACTTGTATTGTAAATTCATCAGAGACAGCAATACTTCAAGAAGACAACACTCACACCAACGAACCTTTAGCACACGTCGAAGACTGAAACTGAAGATTTGAGACTAGCGAGTACGTGATCTGAAGCGGTACTTAGTGATTACAAACCTGTCTACATATGTGTGAAGACTGCTCAAGCTTCAGCGAATGATGAAGAGACCTTCAGGTCATTCCAGCATTCAGCGATCAAAGAAATCTTACTTAGCACGATTGTTGTTATCTTGTCCTTATGTACACAAAGGACAAACCCATACCCTTATGAAAGTTGGTACGATACAGAGCCGACTAGTCGACTCTATTGTCCACCAACTTTAGGTAAGGATGTCTGCTCATGAATAGTGCTTTTTGTACTATTCACTGTAGTAAAGGACAAACCTTCGTCTTTAGGCTTGACACGCACTCTAACCCTACCATATTGCATTAAATGAACATTTAATGCACTGGGTATAAATAGAAGTGTTTCTTCTCCATGCAGAGTGCGCACAACTCACTTTCTAATCCTAATTCTTACTTCAAACATTTTATAGCTTAAGTAAAGGATCTTCTCTACAGTATTTCTTTTCTTGTATTTGCTAAGACTTAGTGTGTAACTAAAGATTGTTTAGATAGGTTTTTATCACCTTATCTTTCCACAAACGATCTTGTAAAATCTGTATTGATCTTCTTTATCAATATATATTTCAAATTTGAAAATATTGTGTTTGTATCCATCCCCCCCTTCTACAAACTGTTTTACTATTCTTGTAGACCCTCAAGGGACCAACAATTTTGTTTACCTTGTTTTTTATTTAACAAGCTATCTGGGCTCGGATACTATGGTCAACAAGCATTTACCATAGATGGGTTTTGAAATTGGAAAAAAGTGGATGGGAAAAAATGTGGCTTCTTGATGCATATGGGAACCGAATGTACATCTTTCCACAATGTTGCACAAAAAGGATGAGATCATTTATTTAATAAGGCGCAAGATATACGAAATGTATTTGAGAAGTTCACAGCTGAAGAGCGTGAGAAAAACATATTGAGATTGACGACTTCTATTTATTGCGTCTGTTGGTGTGCCTTTCAAGCAGTTGCATTCAGATTCCATTAACAGAGGGAATTTTCTTGAAATGTTGGAGGCACTTAGTGAGTTTAGCATGAGCTTAAAGAAATATTTTGTCATGCTCCCAGATATGCATCATATACATCACCGTTGATTCAAAAGCAAATTTTGAATCTTATATCAAATAAGGTGAGACAGATGATTTGTGGTGAGATTGGTGGTCGAAGGTTTTGTTTACTTGTTGACGAAGCACGGGATGAGTCTCATAAAGAGCAAATGTCTCTTGTTTTGAGATTTGTTAATAAAGAGGGCTTCATTATAGAGCATTTTTTTGGAATTGTTCATGTACATGACACTACAACACAAACGCTCAAGGACGAAATCTATTCTCTGTTGTCACATTACAACCTTGATGTCAAGTCTATTCGTGGACAAGGGTATGATGGTGCAAGCAAYATGCRRGGTCARTTYAAAGGTTTGCAAGCCTTGATTTTAGAAGATTGTAAATACGCATATTATGTTCACTGTCTTGCTCATCGGCTGCAATTGGCATTAATGGCCGCCTCTCAAGGAGTTATCGCACTGCGTAATTTTTTTGTAACGTTGTCTTTTGTTGTCAATGTTGTTAGTGCTTCTTTTAAACGCACCGACCAACTACGAGATGCACAAGTCAAGCAAATAGCATACTTGATTTCTGTTGATGAATTGGAGACCGGTAGAGGTCTCAATCAAATAGGTACATTACAACGAGCAGGAGATACTAGATGGAGTTCTCATCTCAGATCAGTTTCTAGCCTAATCAAGATGTTCAGTCCCACTTGTGAGGTTTTGCTCAAAATTTTTAAGGAAGAAACTGGGCCGATCAAAGGAGATTCAGATTCGACGTATGAGGCTATAACGACATTTGAGTTCATATTTGTCTTGCATCTTGAAAGAGAAATAATGGAGATCACTGATTTACTCTGTCAAGCATTACAAAGAAAAGATCAAGACATTTTTAACTCATTGAGGTTAGTTGCATCTACCAAATTGTTATTGCATCTAATGGAAGATGAAATCTGGGATGCTTTGCTTTGCCTTGTTAAGTCATTTTGTCAGGTATATAACATAATGATCACACACTCGAACATCGTTATCAAGTAAATCTTCCTAACTTGTCTTCTTCTCGACTTGTTTTCTTGTCAGGTACGTAACATAGATATTCCTGACTTGTCTTCTTCCTACTTTAGCAGAGGCAATCGAGCTCGTAATGAGCATAGTGGTCATACACTTGAGCATAATTACCGAGTGGATATCTTTTATGAAGCAATTAATTGTCAATTAATGGAATTAGATCATCGTTTCAGTGATGGTTCCATGGAGATGCTTCGTCTTGCTTCAACTCTAGATCCTAAAAATGCATATGACACTTTTAGAAGTCTTGATGTACGACAACTAGTAGAGAAGTTTTATCCTGAAGATTTCGGTGATCATGAGAAAACAATTCTGAAAATGCAACTTCAACATTATGTTATTAATGTCGTTTAACATATAGATTATAAGCAATTGACATCTATTGCAGAATTGGGTCAATGGTTGGTAAGGACTAGAAGAGAAACAACTTTTGATCTTATTTATCGATTAATAAGTCTATTACTTACTCTTCTAGTTTCTAGCACGACAACCGAGAAATCATTTTTAGCAATGAATATTGTGAAAACAAGAATACGAAATAAAATGGATGATGAGTTTCTAAATGACTCGTTACTTTTATTTATCGAAAGAGAAGTAGCTGAAAAGATTAGTTTGGAGGAAATTGTGGAAGACTTCAAGGTCGCAAAAGATTGACGGGTTCCACTTTGATTAGCGATGTTTGACATGTTTATATTTAACGTTTAATTTTAGAGTTTTACTACGTTATAACTTTGGACAATGTATTTTTGGTACCTTTAAAATATATAATATATTAGGTTTGGCCCATACGGTTGAAAAGTTTGTGTTCCGCCCCTGATAAAACATTTGACAAAAAAAATTAAAAATAATTTTTTATGCATAAAGTACTGTCTAATGATACATATTATTTAAAATTCAAGATTAAAAGTAGAATGTGCATGACTACATTTTATTAAAGCTCCATATTTGAATTCGTGTAACTAAATGCAGATAAACATAATCAAATACATAATAAACATCATTTTAAATATAAAAAATATAAAATATAATTAATATAATAATTGAGTTCTAACAAAATACTTAATTATATATTATCTTAAAAAGTTTATTTTATTAAATCAAAAATAAATTAGTTCGTTTTTAAACTTTAATAAGATTATAACAAAAAATCGAATTAAAGAAATTACACAAAAGCGAATTTTTAAATAGTTAATTTATACTAATATCGTTTATTTTTTTAATAATTTTATGATTTATCTTTAAATTTATATTTCAATCAAAAATAAAAACATTTTTCTTTTTGTTAAAACCATATAAAATTGCATTATAACATTGATAAAACCAAAATATAAAACAAAACATTATAATTAAGATGTATTTCGTTGTACTGTACGAATATCCTTCTAGTTATATATATATATATAGACTTGGGATCATGTGACACCAATGGTTTTTCGTGAGACCCGTAAGACCAATTCTCAACCCTTGGATTAGATTTACAATCGTTAGATCTGAACATTCATAAATGCCATAAGACTTCTCAATAATTACAAAATTGTCATCTTGCAACTTTAGACCAGTAGATCGATAGCTTATAAAGTTGATCAATGAATATAAATTGGTCTTACGGGTCTCACGAAAAACCCTTGGTCTCACGTGAACCCAACCCTATATATATATAGAGAGAGAGAGATATATATATATATATATATATATATAACATATATTTCTATAAATGCTTAGAGAAACTTAATTTGACATAAATAAAAGATAGATTAACTAAATTAGTAATTTACAAAATTGACCTTGTTTATATAATAGTTAGCAAAGCTGAGTAAAACGGTGTGCGAGTGACTTTGGGGCACGAGAGAAGGGAGTTTTGAAAGGCATTGTTGTGTCGCTGCCGGATACGATTCTCTCACATGAAGGGCACATGGTCTGGGTGGCTGCCGGAAACTGCATGTAAAACTGCGGTGAGATGGTGGTGGTTTTTCCTGCTTTCAGTTCTTGAATTTCCGTTTTTAGCCTTTTGTTATCACTCGCTAGTGCTTCACAACACTTCTTCAGTAATGCACAGTCTACTTCATTTTGCTTCAGCTTTGTCCTGTAGTAAAGTCAATTAATTGATTACAAATAATCAATTAAAAAAAGAAAACACTATAATAAAATCGGGCTTAAAAAAGTTAAAAAAAAAAGCATCTTAATAGACCGTATTATAAAACTTAATTTTTATGATAAAAAAAATGAAATGTCTTTCTAAAGACGTTGTATTAAGAGTATCGGACACTTTTCAACGTTTTAACAAGTGTTTTACGATATTTTTAATACAAAACGTTTTATTAGCAGTTTTATAGGAAACTATTTGAAAAAAGTGTCTTATAAAAACAAGTTTTCTATAAAAAAAAGGAGTTTATAGGACTTTTTATCAAAAGTGTCATAAAATTTGTTAATGCGACATTTATATTAAATGTGTCCTAAAAAACATTTTTAAGACATCCAAAAATGTCCTATCAACTTATTACAACGACTTTTGATAGGACATTTTATATTTTGTTTCTACAAAACGGTCTATTAGAACGCTTAGAAATTAATAGTGTTCTATAAACCTAATTTTATAGCAGTGAAATATCATTTATTTAATTTAGGTCTAATTATTAAAAGTTGAAGACTTGATTCTGTACCTTGCTCGTCTATTCTGGAACCATACCTCCACTTGTCTTGGCCGTAGATTAAGACTTTCTGCAAGGGATTGCTTTCGCTTCTATGTACAAGGACAAAGATACAAGAGAGCTATCTATATAAGAACCAATAAAGGAAAGAAGACTACTACTTCTGGCCTATACATATACGTCTTTATACAAATTATGTAATGACAAGTGTTTCACTAAAGCCATCACTAAACATGGTTTGGGTTGCAAAATGCCCAAAACAGTCTTATTTAACTTAAAAGTATGGTTCCCTTATGTTCAAAAATTGGAAAGAAAAATAACCGTTAGCATGAAAAAGCACAAGAAAAGTTGTCGTTGACGGAAATTATGCTGCTAACAATCCGACTTAAAACATAAAAGAAACTTATAAATAGATCGTGTTAGATACGTATTTCTAAGACGTGATCGTTGGTTACAAAAGACTCGATCAATTGTGACTGATAATAACTTACAGGATTGAGGGTGCTATGTTGTTTGAATGTTTCTTCCAAAACAAAAGATTGTTCTTTGGTTAATCTGAGTTTCTTTCTTGAACCACCTTCAAATTCATCTTGATCAATATCATTGATTGTCTTTGACGACAACGTCTTCTCCACTTCTTCTCCGCCACCATCTCTCTCCACCCTCTTGGCACTCGTGGAGTTTGAGAACGAAGAAACTGTGCTAACAATCGAATTGGAAGTAGCTTGGTGGATTAACTTGGATGGATCTTGATCTCTACCTAACCCTAATGTTAAAGATGGGAGCAAGTGATCATACATGATCGATGATTTCTCTTCCAGTTGTTGGTGGTGGTGTTGTTGATCAAGATCATGATCATGGAGATCTAAAAGATGGTTTATTGGATAACTATGATCTCCGGTTAAGCTTAAATTTAAGCTTGTGATGCATGAAACTTCAGGGACCATGTTCTGAAACAATCCTATTGAAAATAATGGATTTTTAGTTATGAGAGGGAAGAAGAAGTAGCTTTTTATGTGTGTTTGTGGTGCATTGAATAGAATAATTATATACGTGGAATCAAATTGGGATGGGGTGGAGGTCATGGTTGATTGAGGAGAAAATTATTCCCACCTTTTACCCTTTAAAATTTTTCTTGGGCTCTTTCTCCTAATTTTAATGAAGCTTTTCTATGTATGTAAAACAATCAACTTTTCATTAATGATTTGCAACTACTTTTAGATAAACAATTAACCTGAGATGGATTTTTCACCATTGTATTCGTTGTTTATTATTCTATTATTATTATAGAGTAAACTATGATTTTCTGTCAATTTATGATATTTTTTGTCCATAGTTTTTAAAAGTTGCTTTCTTTTGATACTATGGTTTCTATTACATTTCGTTTTTCATCCATCAATACAATGATCTTAGAAAAGGGTCCATTAAGTTGAGAATAATATGGTCTTTTTATCATTTTCTTTATTCTCCATATATTTTTTACAAAACTACATTTATGATTGAATTTAGAGCCCATCACTTCACTCTTTTGCAATATTACTGTTTTATCTTATCTAATCTATCTTAACAACTTTTCTGAAATCTCCGATCTTTGACTTCTATATGACAACAAGTACATGGGGCCTTTTTTTCTAGACACCTCCAAGATAATTAGCATTATGGGTAAGTACATTAATCATAAGTATATCATAAACTGAGATCGAAGATGATCTTACATGATGCATGATGATGCTCGATCCCGTTTGGATTTTTTATCGAGCACAATGATTTTATGGCAGTTTGACAATTGATCGATGATCTCCATTATTCTTCGATGGAACTCGATTAACAATGATGTTTTGCTTTTTTGGACCTGTTCGTTGACCTTATTTTGTTGCTTCTAGGATCAAAAAATATTTGAGAAGTGGATTGTCATTAGTTGATATTCATTGTTAAAATATAATTCATATATACGGTGATCCTCATGCAAAAAGATGTAATGCAATTGCAACTAACTGACACTTTGTTTGAAGACTTTGAGGTCGATTAGCTCAAGTATGATATCATATTGGACTTCCCTTACACAATGTCATAAGCCATTAACCATGTTCATGTTAAAAAGATGGCCATATCATAGTATTAAATGAAGAATTTCTTTTAAATATTTTTTTCTCTCTTGCTAAAAAGAGTACAAGTTTTGAAATTGTTTAACCATTCCAACATTAAAAAAGTTAGATTCGAGGTTATAGAGACTTGAAGTGAAGTTGAGACTTTCTCTAGATAAAAATTATGATGTTGCAGGTTTCAAGATTGAAGAAATCTGGAGTTTTTATTGTCCATTTGTGTTTTTTGATTGCGATCAATATAAACTCGATAGAGCTTAAAATATGACTAATATATTGTGCATATATCGTGCTCCATTGAGCACCAATAGATATCCATGGAGCCACCGTCGAGCTTTACTGAGTTCAATTGACTGTAATATTCACAATTAGAGAGTAGCTTACTTGTCTTGAAGCTTGACTATATCCTTCTTCACCACATAAACATTGAAAGTACTCTTTGACATCGACCCACTTATTGTTGTTCAATCTCAGTTTAATGCAACATTTTAATCAGTAAATAATGAAATACGATACTCAATATATATATGTTTGATATATGCTTGATAAAAGCTCGATATAACTTTAGATACCACGAAAACTGAGTTACTACTGTTGGTGAGCCTAATTAATGTTGTGAGGTAAGGGCATGTATATTTAAATTACTCTACTCTTTCATACATAGTCTACTTTGGAATATGAAGATGTAAGTACCTTGCATAAAAATTGATGGGGAATGTGTATGTCTACATCTCACAACATTGATTAGGCTCACAGTAGTAAGAACTTAATCCCTCAAATATATTCAACAATATCGAATTTCAATCATAATCCTATGAAACATGTATCGATACAAATAACCAAGTTTGGAATCCTTAGGTATTAATATCTTGGAGTTGTTCTCTCTAGCTCAATGTTTGGCTATAAATAGGTTAGTCCACATATGTCCAAGTCACAAGAGATTATGTTTCTTACTTTGACCTGATGCGGTAGTCCTGAAGGCTGATGGTTGTTAGCATCCTTGTTGACCACCACTTTACTGTGTCAAAAATCTTTTAGGTGTCAATTCTTGAGGAGTCAAACTATTGTTGTATGTTGATGTATTCTTCAGTCTTATAGCCATAGTCGAGATATAAATTTGTTAGGTTCAAGTTTTGTACGTAAATCTGTTGTATCCAAGTTTTATGTTGTTGTGCTTATCTTGTTGTTTATATAGGGTGCTTTGTTTGTTTTAGTGGTTAGGATGGTATGTGCTTAGAAGTCAAGAGATACGGATTGTAATCTTTGTAATATGAAATTCCCAGAAGTCTTACTCAGATTCAGAACTCAATTACCAAAAGTAGAAGAAATTGATGAACATCAAGAGAGAGAATTTGCCAAATGTTTTTGCATTAATCTTCAAAGTAGATTACAAAATGAGATTAGCTACTAATTAGAAGAAGGAAAACTATTTATACAAATAGATTACAAAGAGAAAAGTTATAAAGGAGAAACTTGCTTGAATACAACTTTAAAGCACAATACTTAAACCCAACATTCTCTCCCTTGGATTCAAGCACCAGATATTGTAAAATTTTGATCTTCTGAAGCCCAAGTTCGTCTCACACCTTCTTATAGCATTCTGATACTGTATCTTCTCATCGAGTAGCTCTAGAGCACTAATCAGAAAGAACCTTTCTCTCAGACTTAATTTGTTATGACTTGAAGCTTTGTCATCTAAAGCCTTTCTGCCTTCTAGTTCTTTCCTCACATTCTTAATTGTTCCATCGCAATACTTGTTTAGCTCGCTGAACCTTAAAAACCTCTTATCTTTCTTGGAATATTCATAGATCACCTCGAACTCCGGATCTTCAAGAATCATGTACAGAGGGTAGCCATCGATGTCTTCTAACTCTTGATCTGGCTTCTTCAGGTTAACATTCTTTTGATTACTTTCGTGCCCCATTTGAACATCACTCACTAAAGAGAGCTTAATATGACATCTAAGGTATCGTTGATAGCTTCAATCCCTCTGACAACTCCTTCCAATCTGACAGTCTGGTTACGGATCTCATGATACATGTGTTCCAAGTCTTCTAAGAATAGATTTGGAAAATTAGCTTCACTAAAGCTCCAAAATTGACTGTCTTGTCTTGTCACGTTAAAACACTGGATACCAGACACTAACAAGTTTCCTGGTTTCAATACTCTTGATTGATACGATTCAATGTTTCTTTCATACAAAGTTGATGGGTTGTCGTTTTGCTTTGAGGTAATATTTGTATTCTTTGCGATAATCACGCGTTTCCTTGTGAATACCCAAGATTTTGTCTGAATTTAAGACTTTTCGATGACGAACAAATATATCAGGATATAAGTCTTCAAGGTATGGTTCTCTGACTCTTCCCCGTTCTAACCTTGGTGTATTTACCCTTACGGCAAAAGGTATATACTTCCTTAACGATCTAGCAGTTGCCGCTTGAGAAACAAAAGACGTATAAAAAACACTTGGTAATTTGATAGGAACTAGTTCAGGTACTTCTTTAGGATTAGATTGAAATGGAAAGATAGGATCATCTTCATCTATATCAGCTTCAAAATCCAAGAACAAATCATCTGCGTCATCATCATCTTTAACTTCAGCACCATAATCCTGAACCCCTCCGATCTCCTTTGAGAATACTACATTAAATCCCACATTTGATAACAGAAGTAGCAACATCCTTATTTCTACAACGGAGACCACATCTTTCTAACCTTTGGCTCGATCTCTTGGTCTATAGCTATAATCATCTCCAGGTCTATAGTCCGTTCACTATTACCATCTTGAATAGAACTTTGATCGTTAAGATCCTTAGAGTTCTCTCCTTCAAACAACAATACTTCTTTACCCTTCGAGGTCTCAACCATTCTCTGTTTCTTGTTCTCCCCCTCATGGTGATTAGGATCATCCTGATCATCATGTCTTCTTTTTAGAGAGGTGGCCAGAGCTCGACAAGTATTCCAGAATCAACATTCTTTAAGACAGTATGTCAATTGAGCTTTGCAGGTTGGCTATGGATTGGGTCGAAGAAGAAATTGCAGAGCAAGCTTTGAGAGGCTTGGAACTACAATACTCTAAAAATTGATGAACTCTGTGGCTCGAATGGCTTGGGAATCCTCTATCGATTGTCTTAGCATACCAACCAAATTTGCATCCACCGAGTCCAAATTTTGTTGAGTGAGGATTTTAGCATACAACAAGGACTTGAGGTCATCCACTGATAAATTTGACTCTGTAGGAGGTTAAGGTGCAGGCCGTGGCGACCGAGCATGAGTTTCTTCTCTGGTTGGTTGCTTTCCCTTTAGAAGGCATTTCAAACCATTAATCTCCTCTAGTAAAGAATCTTGAACAGCCTTTAGGGCGTCGTTCAAATATTCCTTGACACGAAGTCTGGTAAGATAACACCTGGATCACTCAGATTTCCAGTTGCAACAAAAGTTGAGTAAACTGTTGTGCCTACGTTCAGTGTAGGCAAAGTGGTGGCACTGGTATCGACCGGTTCTCGTAGAATGTCAAAAGACTATATTCTGGTCGTTTCGGCATGTTCACCAAGAACAACAGATGGAGCAACAAATGCTCTTGACTCCAAGGTACCTAACGTGTTTATCGGCTCTAGACTCTCAGTGTACATAATTGAAGTTGTAGATTGGGACAGATGTCTACTATTTTCAATATCTAGCTCCTCCAAGTGAGGAACAAATAGCAGTTGTGCTTCATCCCCATGATTATTTGAAACTATTACTTGTTGAGATGCAATAGAGTGGTTAGGAGAGGTGTGCAATTGCATAGCTAGGCTACCTACGTCTTCTTCAATGCCAACATTTAACTGATGAATGTCAACAGTAGATGTGGGTACCTGACTAC